GTATTATCATCCAGTGCCCTTCATAACAGGCTACTAATGGAGTTAGCCTCTCGCAGTACAGTCATGCTTTCTGGCCTGTGTGTGAGAGAGCGAGGAGCTCCGTTCAGGGCCAATGAACAGGGAACGGGTAACAGGAGGGCAGGCATATGGCCACGGGGGGTTAACGTGAGAGCTGGAGCACGGGCAGATTTCTCGCGTTCACCCCCACCTGCCATCTGCCACCGAACCGGACCAGAACCAGAAGAGCAGGGCAGGCAGAGACTGGCCAGATCTACTTCAGACCGCTCTCCTTTTCTGACCACATTAGGATGAGAGAGAGAGACAAAGAAATAGTGTTTGTTTGAGAGAGATGAAAGAAGAAGAAAAAAAGAGACACTTGCAATCTTGTGAATTAATGGCTCTCTTCCAAAATCTAGTAAGCTGAGTATTTAAGGCAGCATGCGTGCACTCCTGCTGTTCCACAAGGTAAGCATGATTGTGCTGCCTTCTAAGAAAACTCTTTTGGACAGATTCTAAGGCAGTGTGTCAAAGGAAGCAATGCCAAAATGCATTGTAAAAAATGTGTGAGAAATGTTGATAATACAAAAAATGTATGGCTAAAAAGTTACATTTAAAAAGTGTTATTTACCTATTACTCAATAGTAAAATATGCTATGTATTTCCATGCTTGTTAGAGTTTCTTTAACAGAAGTCAGTTTAGACTCTTTAGAACCTTCCTCTGGCAACTCTTTTCTAGTTAACAAGTGTACAAGTCCAGCTCCTATCTACTTGAATGCTGTTTGTATATATGACCCATTAAGTCGCAGCCTATTTAGATCACTTATGAGCTTCCATTTCAGTTAACATGCAGTCTTAGAAGACAGGCGCCTAGACAGCAAGGGAGCTCACATGGTTTTGGAACAGAGCCAGTTCCTTTGCAGTAATTATGAATAATTTCAGCTTTATTACATACAGTTGCTCACTAAATCTTCGAGATGCTTCTCCCCATGCACTGCCTCAGACACTTGGGCAAGAAGATGTGCAATAACATTGCCCTTGCTGGATAAATGCATGAGGGTTATTTTTAGTGTGATGGGAGGCCCACAAGATTAATAAACATTCATCATCCATTTCCTCCAAATTCTTGCTCTCTGTCTTTCTCTATTGCATTCTCTCTCTCTCTCTCTCTCTCTCTCTCTTGCACTCTGTTTTCCGCTCTGTCTTCTCCTTTAGGACAGTGAGAGCTTTCTATCACAGTTTCTAAACTCTATCCATGAAAGAGGAATGGAATAAACGGTGCCAATCATATTATATTTCTCATCCTCTCACACAGTAAAATTCAATAAAAAAAAAAAAAAAAATTATACTGGATAGCAGTAGGGTTCAATCCCAGGACTGTTTGGAGATCATTTTGGTAATGATGTCTTGATTTGGCCCTGAAGCGCATATGCTGATAACCTTCCCATTTCAACGTGACGAGGTCACAGAGGTCACGGCTGCTGCTGTCCTACTTGAACAACTAGATTTGAACCAAGATTTGCTTCCACATCGTAACTCATTCTGGCCGATAACTGCCGTCTGATCATCTTGCAAAGTGACCACACCCATTTCGTTTTTTAATATTGATGTTTATGGGTGGGTAAATCTGAAATCAATGTTACATGCCACAATAATAGGCTGGCGTGCAATGAAGTGTAAAGTAATACATACAGTACTGATTATTTCACAGACATACAAAGTGTATTATACAGATATTTGATATCTTGTTGATATGTGACTAAAAGTTCTTTTGCATGAATTTTCCAATTAATTATTTATTATTTCCTGTTTTTAACATTTATTTAATAGATTGCAATAGATTCTAGATGCTAGGATACACATTAGAGCTAATATTTCTTTTTTCAATTAATACTTTTATTCAGCAAGGATGCGTCAGTAAAGACATCTATATTATTACAAAAGTTTCTATTTCAAATTAATGCTGTTCTTTTGAACGTTCTATTAATCAAAGAATCCTGGGGGGGAAATTGTCACGGTTTACACAGAAATATTAAGCAGCACAACTGTTTTCAACATTGATAATAATAAGAAATGTTTTTTGAGCAGCAAATCAGCATATTAGAATGATTTCTGAAGGATCATGTAACACTGATGATGCTGGAAATTCAGTTTAGCCAACACAGGGATAAATTATTAAACTATATTAAAATAGAAAAGTGCTATTTTACATTGTAATAATATTTCACAATATTACTGTATTTTTTTTTAAAATCAAATAAATGCAGTCTTTGAGCATAATAGACTTATTCCAAAAACATTAAAAATCTATCTGACCACAAAACTTATAAACTGTAGTGTAACAAAATATTGTCAATAGAAATTTCCAAAAGACATATTCATGTTTTAGTAATGTTACTATAAACTTTTGAGATGTTTACGCCCAGAAATCACAATTTAAAATGGTTTGACATGTGCATGGGAGCCCAGTAATAACTGCCTCAAACAATATCTTTCAAATATTTTATGTTATAGGGGCATGGTGATAAAAAAATATGAGATGGGAATTAAAATTACATGTTAATGCTTTTGCGTTCTCTTGCAAATGTTTTGAACTCCCCAGAGAAACTTTCCGTCCACTTTTGTGTTCTTTGTGAATAAATGCAGTTTCTCAGGGGAACGCAAAACATTTGTGAGAGAACGCGAAAGCCTTGACAAATAAATGTTCCTCCCATTTAATATTTTTCCCCCCAAACCATGTCCCTTTAGGGACCCTGTAGTTATGTTATGTAGGTAAATAGATTGTCCATGGGTGTGTTCGAGGCTGAGGCTAACTTTAATCCAGATGTCTTTCATGTAAAATAAATATCTTACTCAAGTTTCATAATCTGACTATTCATCATTCAGCAGAATGAATGAATTGGTTATGGATGATAAAATGAAACCACAAAATCTTTCCAGGGTCTAAAAATATGACCTTGAAACTCTTAGTACAAAACAAATTTGTCCTGTAACAGCAAATACATCACTATGTCTATTTTATAAAGGGACATCACACCTAAATCTCGGGAGAAAATCCTCTCTTACACATACACAAAACATTACTTTTTGCGGACAAATGTTGCCAGACCTCGCAAAATATGCATTGCATGCTGCATGTGGAAGGTTATTTCGCCTCATTCCAAACAATCAGTTATTTCCAGGAAAGGTTATTAAATATTTTCAGCTTGGCAATGATTAAAAAAAATGACATCACAAACTCCAAAATCAGGCCATTCTGACAGGCCCTAATAATATTGAATTATGGTGATATTTCAACATATTACTTTGAGTGAAATAATGTATTAATGCACATCATCTGCATGTGTGTTTGATGACAGGCAGCGGGACCCTGAGGGAGTGTGAGAGTCCACGGCCCGACACACACTGAGATAAATTGTTCTCACTCCAGTGACTGTTATTCATTGGTCAGAGGTTGGAAAGAAGCACTCTGATGGTACCACAGTAGTTATGGTTTCAAATGTTAATAATACCACATGCCAGTACTTGTGGTATATGGGCAGTTGACATGGCATGTAGTAATAATTCAGATGATCCTTTGTAAACTTTTTAGGATACTTTTATATATTGGAAATAGAAATATTTTGTAACATTTACTCTCACTTTTGATCAGTTTAGTGCATCCTTTCTGAATAAAACTACTTCATGTTCATTTGTCAACTACCCATATACATTACCATGGTACTGAATGATTACCGTATCCATGTACTATGGTATTTACATGGTACAGCATCATGGTGCATGTCCTAAAATGCCATGGTAGTATTTGGTACTTTTATGCAGTTCTGTTGTCTTGTAAATAACCATCTTCTAGTTTACCTACAGGTCTCTTCTACTGAACTCTGTTCTACTACTTCAAGACCAACCTATTTTAATCTACAGAGCATCACAAGACAAACTACACTACTCTATTGACTTTAAAAAAGCTCGAACCTGTAAACGTGTCTACAGACGTGGATGGAGCCGGAGTCTGGGGTTCTGTGATTGGTTGGACTGACTCTGTGCTGGTTGGTGTTGAGTCTGTGGGTGGTGTTATGGATGTAGTTATAGACATTGGTACAGTGGCTGGGTCAAGCATTACTGCTAGTGTTGGCACTGAGGATAAAAAACAACATTACAGCCTGTTGAGATCAAATGTTTCTGGCAAATGGTAATTTTAAAAAAAGAAATCACAGGTCTTGTCTTCTGGCAAAATGACACCAAGTAAATTTTTTTTCAGGTCTTGTACTTGGCTCTGACACCAACTTGCGATGTTGAAGATTTGAGTAAAAGCGTAGTTTTTGGTTTCCGACAACATTGTCATACACCCTATTTAGCCAACATTCTTATTTACTAATTCCACAAACGAAAGGGTCCGAAAAAAGGTTTACAGAGATGAAGTGAGTAGTATTCAGCTGGTCATGTGATCTCATTATGGTATAGTAAAACAGCTTTTATGCAGCTGTTATGAATAAAATGTTCATCTCATGCGAGTCTTAATCATTTGAAACATTTTACCATTCTTTAGATGCAAAAGTTAGTGATATCTGCGTCACTAGGATCACTAAAAACGGGAAACACTTCACCTTTAAACTAAAAAAAAAAATACAGAGTGCACCTTTAAAAAGAATCTGACTCTGTATTCCTCATGAGATCAGTCATCACCTCAGATTTCCAACAAAACAGCATTAAACCACCACAAATGGGCAGAACTGCACTGAAATCTCCCATAACCTTGAGCACACCCTCATACATCACAAGCCAGCATTAGAATGCTTTGCGTCTTACATCACATGAAACATTTATGAAGTAAGAAAACTGTGGAAAAATGCATCACGCCATCAGAGTTCACAGTGACGGTTAAGGGACGGATCATAACCGACGTCTTGTTAATGACATGAAATAAAGAGGCCAAAAAGAGTGATGGCAGCAGGAGCGAAAACATGAAAACAACAGTCAGCGTATTCCGTTAGCATGCCACTTACTGCCAGACGTTCCCGACGCCTCGCCTGCAAACACAAAGAGAGGAAGATAACACAAATGAGAGAGTTTTACTCCTTTATTTTTTGAAAACACTCTTGTGGGTTTATTTTATTATTATTTCTCTACCACTCTGGAGCACATCTAAGATTAAAAAAATACAGAAGCCTGCCTCGCTTTTGCAGGCAGTGAGCGTACAGTAGCCATGAACTGTAAATTTGATACTATTCAAAATGCCTATCTTCTTTTTATTGGGAAGTTACTTTGAAAGCTTTGTGCTATTCTACTTTCCTCAGCAAGTGAAGATGCCCCAGTTTTCTACACTGTACGTAAATCATGTGTTCTTCTGTGGTGTGTGCGCGTGTCTGAATACAGCAGGTGCATAATTCTTACAAATGTTCGGGGAGCCGTTGGGTGTGGGCAGGTAGGAGCCGGGCTTCCAGGACTTGGCTTTGAAACCTCTCTCACAGGCCGAACAGTCTTGTCCAGTGGTGTTGTGCTCGCAGTCGCACTGAAGGGTCCCGTCACGGAGGGAGCACTGACCGGCGTGGAGGTTACACTTACACCTGTGAAAACAGGGAACAGCGGACAATTAGCACGCTTGTTACATCGCAGCCACAGGCAAGGGCGAAAGCTGCACCGCCGAGGACGATTCCCACCTTTTATAAGTTAGGGTCACCCGAGGTAGCTCATTAGCTCACCTACTTGGCTCAAGAAATCAGCTAGGCTAATTAGTGGAGCCATAGCGCACGGCTAAAAACAGGACCTGTAGGGAATATTGTGGATTCTACATGTAACCGGGTGGTAAATGCCTTTAAAGTGGTTTTTTTTCTCCCTTATGTTAAAGTCTTTTATTTAATTATTATTTTCCATGTTTAAATATAAAAACAGAGACTACTTATATTTCTTTGGAGTCATCAGCGGGTGGCGCTTTGTGTGTTGTGCACGACAACGTGTTTGCGCTCTTGCCTTACGGCATCCGTAGTATATTCTGTTGGTGAGATGTGCAGTGGGCAGTGCAAGAGAGACGCGCACTCTCGAGAGATTGTCGACAATTTGAGTCATCCATGGGTAAATACAATGTTTTGTGATTATATATTTGTTTAATACCATTTGTGGATGCATATTTTCTGGTGTCGATTCGGAGAACTGTCTTGTTCAAAAAGTTATGTCGTGTGTAATGTCCGCGGTGATGTGACGTCACACCATGCGGTGTAGGCCTGTTTATTTGGTCTTATGCCAAATGTTATACATTTCATTTTTCCAAATGTTTCAAATGCTGTCTATATGACTATAATTTGATGTGATTATTTACACAGTGTACAATATAATGTTGGGGATTTCAACCCTCGTGAAGTGAATGTGGAGGGTGTGTAGGAGCTGATTGTTATGTGAGTGTTATTTTCTCTAATTTCTCTCGAATGATATGTAAGTGGGCAATATAAAAAATATACTTATGTTGTTGTTTTATCTTTGTACAGTATTCCCACTGCCGTATTGTATTGTAACGTTTTAGAAATTTTTGCAACACTTTAATTTCACTCTGAGTAATGTGGAGCTGCAATGATGTTTAATTGTATCATCTGCTCCGTGAACCTCATTTATTGAGTTTTGTTTTTTCTGCTCTTTTGGGTTTCTTTTGTGAACATTTAAAATTGGAATTATTTATTGTCAATTAAATTTATAAATCACATTTGGGAATAAGTTGTTTTTATTTTTACAGCATTAATTGAATAAACTTAAAGTAAATAGAACCCCTAATGTGTTCTTGGTGGTAAACCTAAAACCCCGGTCACACATTTTGGTACCAGGAGTGGGGTTGTTTATTCAATCTGATTCGTTTTTTTTGTCGAGCGGTATAGTTGGGTTAGACAATACGGCAGTGGTGAATATTTTCCAGAGGCTGAGGACGTCCGGAGTGCGGAGGATCGCGGTTGCGGATGAGCTGGCCAGCGTTGGACTGATCGTGTTTCCAGTGTGTCAGGCGGGACGGCTGCTGAGGAGACTGGTTCAGCTTGACGGGGGTCCTTTTGTCGACGAGTGAGCTCCCTGGATTTTACGGCTGCATCCAGGAACTCTGCACCAGCGCGAGGGTGTGTTTGAGCTACTAAAAAGGACAGCGGAGGCTGAAGTTTGCGCCAGGAACATTTATCTTGAACTGAGTTGAGTTAATTCTGATTTGATGCTAGTTGACCTGCTTGTGTAAAAAAAAAAAAAAAAAAAATGTCTGACTCTGAAGAACTGCCTAGAGAGGAGGTGCACGTCCCTGTCGTTGGAGCTGTGGGAAATGACGTCATAGAGCAATTGAGGGGTCAGATAAAAGAGTTAAGTGATTGGAGAAATGATACTCTGGCCAATAGGGCTGTTGGGGGAGGTAACTCAACCCGCTCTTACATTTATGTTCCTCGTGAACGCCAGGTTCAACCTTTTAGCGGGGAGTATAACAAAGATGGACGGTCTGTAGAGGAGTTTATTGAGGAGGTGGAAAGGGTCCTACGGGCCAGAGACCAGACACAAGAAGAACAGCTTGACTTTATCATCTCTCTTTTGAGAGGGCCTGCACTGGAAGAGGTGCGTTTATGTGTTGGAAACCATTCCAGGCGGGCCAGTGATTTGTTTACTTTCCTGCGGGAGGCATTCGGGGAACGGCGTAGCGGGACTCAATTGTTGCAAACGTTTTACAACCGCAAACAATTGGATGGGGAAGATCTGCGAAATTACTCTCATGCGCTCTCTCGCCTTTTAAGCTCAGCTGCAAAGCAATCCCCAGGTGGTTTTTTGGCGAATGAAGAGGAGATTTTGCGCGATCAGTTTGTGGAGGGTGTGCGAGATGCCACGTTAAGGCGAGAGCTGCGTAAAATAATCAGAGAAAGGCCCCACTTAACCCTGCTTGAGGTTCGCAATGAGGCTGTTCTTTGGTCCATGGAGGAAAGCAGGCCGACCAGAGTAGCAAATAGTCGACCAGTCCATTCAGAATTGCTTGGTCAACCGGGTGATACTTCTGTCGGGTCTGAGAAACAAACTTCTACTCTGTTGAATGATATTTTACAGGTGATTTCCCGGCAGGACAAGCGAATAAGTGAGCAAGAGCAGACTATTTCTGAGCTCACCAAGGCAGTCAAGGAGTTGACTGTGCAGCGTTCAGTGTCTGTTCCGCAGAATTATGTACCCGTATCTAAGCCGCCTCCCAGGTTTACAGAAGAGGGAGAACCTATCTGTTTCAGATGCAACGGGGTTGGGCATATCGCTAGACATTGCACCGTGAGACGGGGTGGGAGACCCAAGAGTGCTGGCAGGACAACTGAAGGGCAAGAAAAACAAGGTCCTTCTGTTGCGGGCTGTCAGGCAGCACAAGGGGTAGTATCTGGTTCACCACCTCTGGGAACTAGTCGGGACAGGTTCTTTGAACGGGCTGTTGGAACGTGCCCGATGGTAGACTTGAAAATCAAGGGTGTGCCAGTGTCATGCTTGTTAGACACTGGTAGTCAGGTCAGTACTATTACTGAGGGGTTCTTCCGAGAACATCTATTTGGGGATGATCGTGATGTGTTGTCTACCTCAGGTTGGCTAAAGATCACGGCAGCCAACGGTTTAGACATTCCCTATTTGGGTTACATGGAGCTGGATGTGGAAGTTATGGGGATGACCCTGCCTGAATGTGGTTTCTTGGTCGTTAAAGAAACTCTTAGTCCGTCGTCGGTGGCCGTGCTCATTGGAATGAACATCATCAGTAAGTGCCGACAGATTGTTCATGCTGAGTTTGACACCACGCTGGGTGGTAGGCTGGATTCGGACTGGAGGGCAGTTTTCCAGCAGGCACAATCAGTTGAGTTAGTTGAGCGAGTTTCATTTGCACGGGTCGTGGGTAAGACTCCTGCTCATGTGCCTGCTTGGTCGGCAGCTACTGTCCTGATTAAGGGGATGGAAACCAGTAAAAAGGATGGTTCAGTGTGGTTGGTAGAACCAGCAAATACGGCCTTACCAGGAGGTTTAGTTGTAGTACCTACCTTGATTACATCAGAGTTACCCGTGTGTCCAGTGAGAGTACTTAACTTGTCTCAGGAAGATCTTTGGCTTCAGCCTAGGGCCCGTCTAGGTATGTTGTCTCCGGTCGATGGTTATAGTGTGGGTTCGTCCTGTGAAGTGAGGTTCCAGCGAATTTCCGCAGACACAGAACAGGTTACTATGGGTGAAGGTCATGGTTCTGAGCCTCAGGCCCAGTCAGTTTTGGATCACATTGACATGGGAGGCACACTTGAACAGCAGGTTCAGTTAAAAGCTGTGCTGGGCAAGTATTCAAGCGTGTTTGCCCTGGAGGACGATGATTTGGGTTATACAGATAAGGTTCAGCATGAGATACATCTGACTGATGACGTACCAGTGAATCAGCCATACCGGCGAATTCCACCAAATCAGTACCAGGAGGTCAGAGAGCACATCACCAAGTTGCTGAAAAAGGGTGTAATTCAGGAGAGTGGGAGTGCTTACGCCTCGCCTGTGGTACTTGTGCGCAAAACTGATGGGTCGCTACGGTTGTGCGTAGATTATCGAAAGCTCAACGCCAAGACGAGGCGTGACGCATTTCCACTACCCAGAATTGATGAGAGCTTCGATGCCCTCAGGGGAGCGAAGTTCTTTACAACAGTGGACTTGGCCTCGGGGTATCATCAGATTGCGGTGAGTGACCGGGATAGGGCCAAGACGGCGTTCACCACACCTTTTGGCTTATTTGAGTACCGGAGAATGCCGTTTGGGGTCTGCAACGGACCATCTACCTTTCAGCGGCTCATGCAGTCTGTTATGAGCGATCTGATCTTTCAGGTGTTGATTGTGTACCTAGATGACATTTTGCTGTTTTCACAGACCTTTGAGGAACACCTGGAAAGACTAGAGATGGTGCTGAAACGGTTGTCAGATACCGGTTTAAAAGTCAAGTTGGGGAAGTGCCGTTTCCTCCAAGACTCTGTGAGATTTCTTGGCCACCAGGTTTCGGCACAAGGGATTTCTCCTGACCCAGACAAGGTTGTTGCAGTCAGTAATTGGAAGACCCCAGAAACGGTCAAGGAGCTGAGGTCATTTCTAGGGTTCTGCAGCTATTATAGGAAGTTTATTGAGGGCTTCTCGAAGATAGCTGGACCCTTACATGATCTGGTAAATGCATGTTTGGGTGAAGGCAGGTGCGCAAAGAGTGGTCGTCACTTTAGGTCTGGTTGGTCTAATGAGTGTGATCATGCATTCAGTCAGTTGAAGTGGAAGTTAACAACGGCACCTGTGCTGGGTTTTGCGGACTTCACTTTCCCTTTCATACTCGAGACTGATGCGAGCCAGAATGGCTTAGGGGCCATTCTGTACCAGGTACAGGATGACAAGAAGCGGGTCATTGCATACGCAAGCAGAAGATTGCGTAACGCAGAGAGAAACGATCGCAATTACAGTAGCATGAAGCTCGAACTACTGGCCCTTAAGTGGGCTGTAGTCGAGAAGTTTCGTGGCTATTTACTTGGGTCTTGGTTTGAGGTGATTACAGATAACAATCCGCTTTGTCACTTGCAAACTGCAAAGTTAG